TCCCTTAAATTTATTCTTCAAATATTGTCTACGTGTAACAATGTAGACAATACTATTCTTACTTTGTTTGTTCTTTGGTGCCAATGAAATGTTAGACTTTGGTTTGTAGTTACGATATATACTATTAGAATGCTAACATAAAATTCAAAATCAATTGGTAATTGATGAAAATATTAAAGATTTTGTAAACAATTAGGCAAGATTTTAATTCCCCGACGTGGAATTCACACTCTTTTAACACAGTGCAATGCAATTTCATATAATGGAAAAGCAATCGTGGTTGAGAGTGAAAAAGCATAGCAAGAAAGAACTCATCATCATGGGTGATGGCCTTACCAACTGGTGCTGGATTTAATGGCATCAAGTCAAGTATGAATGCTTTGCCGGTGATCTTGGGGTTATGGATTCTTTAAGTAGCTAGCTAGAAAGGCATGGTTAGTTATCTATATGTTATTTACCAAACTGCCATCGTCAACCATCATTTGACAACTATATCCTTATTTCATAAACTGTTATTCTTTTACACTTGCATAGCGCGTGTGACCTATTTAATGTTATTATGATAAACTATTCATTTGTGAATTAGACAAAGCCTCTGAGTCAAGAAGATGCTCTGCCTATTTGCTATTTGTAAATTGGTTTTGCTGATTGGGTATTATTATAATGTTGCATGCGCATATATATAGAGATTCCGGTGAGGATCCCTTAAATAAGTTTATCTAAGGGATACTCTTGTAGGATCCACTCCGTATTGTAATTCACCAATTCAAAGTGTCTATTTTGTAGATATCCCTTCAAAGATCAATAAAAACTATATGCTAGCATAGGAAATGCCCCTTCACCCCTTCATACATGCCCTGCTGGTAATTAGTAAGACTTTCTTTATTAATTCATTACTCTGTCAACATTTTATATGGTCAAAGCATTTCTTTTGATTCCCCTCCAGTTGAGTTTTTGTAATATGATTAAGTAGACGGGATGCCATTTTCATGAAGGTGCCGTGTTGCTTAAAGTCGTCGAAAAATTGTTAAAATATATTAGAATACGAACTTCAAACTCAAAATTAATTGGCGATATATATTGATGAAAATGTCAAAGATGTTTTAAATTATATCCTCACTTCATAAACTGCTATAACTAAATTTAGTAGCAAAATCTGAAGACTATATACATCACAGCTGAGATCATGTCTTGATCATATCGAGATTAATATTGGTGAGCGTCCAAAATTAGCCAATTAAGTAGAGATTAAGAAAAACCATTTTCTAAAATAGCCAATCAGCAAAACCAATTTACTAGGTTAGCATGAAAAACATGCATTTGCAACCTAAGTGGACAGAGCAAAAGATAATATTATCAATCTTCTTGACTCAAGCCTTTGTCTAATTCACAAATGAATAGTTTATTTAGGCGTAAGTTATTAAGATAAACTATTCATTTGTGAATTAAACAAAGACTATCAAGAAGATTCTCTGCCCATTTGCTATTTGTAAATTTGTTTTGCTGATTGGCTATTGCAGCAAGTGGTTTTTCTTTATCTATACTTAAGTGGCTAATGTTGCATGCGGCACCAATATTAATCTCGATATTATATGGGTTGGGATGGGAGGAACACCTTACGAGGTCCACTACACCTTACAAGGTCCATTACGAATTTATTTAAGGGATACATTTTAAAAGATATTATCTCAACAATATAAAAGAGAATAAATTCATTTGAGGGTATTTTTTTAAATCCTCATTCAAATAAATTTTTGCAGAAATAATGTTTGAGGGAATACCTTAAATAAATAGTCTGATAATTAAAAGTACAATCCTGAGAGAGCCTAACAAGAGTTTTCTTCGAATAAAAGCTCCACTATATATTAACTGTTGTAAATTAATAACCTATGTAGTATAGGAGAAACACTTTTATCAAACGAAATAATATTATTTTTCTATTCTCGACCAAAAATATTATGGCAGTATAATAACTTTTACACGTGTGATAGTAATAAATTGGTTATTTGTACCATCCAACTGTCTTAATATTATGTATGAAAAGTAGAGGCACTTGAATTAACAGTATGTTGTTCCCTATAAGTAAACCCATTCCCATAGCAATGAGAAATATAGACAGTCCAATGGCTTCTTCATTGGAGACAAAAAACCATCCCAAAATAAATCATGCTGAGCCTGAGGATGAAATTACAAAGGAAGAGGAAGAAGAAAGCTTCTGCTATGCCATGCAGCTGGTGGGTTCTTCTGTGCTGTCCATGTCTCTGCAATCAGCAATTGAGCTTGGCGTTTTTGACATCATAGCCAAAGAGGGTCCAGGCGCCAAGCTCTCTTCGTCTGAGATCGCAGCCAAGATTGGCACCAAGAACCCTGAGGCACCCATGATGGTGGGTAGGATCCTCAGGCTCCTCACCAGCTACTCTGTTCTCCATTGCTCTCTTGTTGCTGCTAATGAGGATGATAATGGTGCGTCTGATTTTCAGAGGGTCTATAGCCTTGGCCCCGTATCCAAGTACTTTGTGAATGATGAAGAAGGTGGTTCTCTGGCCCCCTTGATGGCAATGCTTCAAGACAAGGTCTCCATGGAAAGCTGGTTAGTTTAGTCCTCTTGGCCTTGCTACTAAATAAGTTATCCTCTTTCCTTTCCTCCTTTATTCATTTATTACTAATAATTTATTATAGAGCCGGGATGGAGGAATACACAAAAAGCCACACTTTTCGACATACCTTTTCAGCTTTTAGAGTTCAAAAAATATGATATTTAAAAAACAATTCATATATTTATGAAGAACATTTAGTCAGTACAGTCTGACGTCCAAACGATCCCTAAGTTGCTACATAGCATATGTTTATGTGATTTCAATGGGTAATCTTTCTCTTTGATAACTTTATATTCTGTTTTTGAAACAAGTTGAAGGCAATAGTTGTGTGAGGTGAGGTGAGGCTTGGACTTCATAATACAAAGGTTTCATTGGCGGAAGGAATCACAAAATTACATTATCTTCATCTTCTTCTTGCTTTTACAGAGTGGAACGTGTGACTTAAAGAACGAAAAAATGGTGACAGAGGAAAGGGTTGTTCTGAATAGATAGAGAGAGAAAATGGTTGGTATAAATGAGGGGGAAGAGAATATACAGCTAATAGGAAAATATTTTATTGTAATGGGGATAGCACTGTTTTGCTTTTATCAGACAATAATACAATGACACTGTTGATAAGTTATAGTTTCTCTCTGTAGAAAAAAAAATTATCTCCTAATGTAGAGATAGTCTCGTACTGTGTGCAATGGGTTAATGACACCAATAAAATAATCAATGAGCTATCAGATGTGTTTTCAACCGTTGGATGAAGAAACATCTAAAGGCTGAAAAGGTGTTTCAAGAAGTATAGATTTTTGTGTGTCCTTGATCTTGACCCTTTTTATCTATTTAAGTTTGATTAATGTACTGGCACATGCATTACACATGATTATATAAAAAAATTAGTATAATGAAGAAACTAGAAAACTACGGGAGAATGATCGAACTTGGGTGTAAGGAAACATATTCATTGTTATTATACCCAAATTTACAAACAATCTCATTCCTTAAACTGGCATAATTAAAGTCAGTCTGGGATCTTGGCTATTAAAATTATAAATGGTCCACCCAATAATAGAAGAAAAGCCCTATATAATTCAAATTTTATATAAGTTCCCCAAGTCAAAGAAACAACCCACATAGTTTGTGCTAATTATAATACTAATAGGGTATCTAACTCCAACTTTCTACACATAATAAATCTACAGGTCTCAACTGAAAGATGCAGTTGTTGAAGGAGGAATTCCATTTAACAGGATCCATGGCATGCAAGTTTTTGAGTATCTAGGTTTGGACCTCAGGCTTAATCAAGTGTTCAACACAGCAATGTTTAACCAGACCACCATTGTCATCAAGAAACTTCTTCACATCTACAAGGGTTTTCAAGACAAGAACCTCACACAACTTGTTGATGTTGGTGGTGGCTTAGGAGTGACCCTTAATCTGGTCACATCTAGATATCCCCATATAAGGGGTATCAATTACGACTTGCCCCATGTCGTAAATCATGCCCCTTCCTATCCTGGTAGGACTTTAATTTATTTGATTCAATGTGAAATTTTAGTTTTTGCTTCATCGGAAGCAGTGTGCAGCATAAAATGGGAGTTAAATTTTTTTTTGCAGGTGTGGAACATGTTGGAGGAGACATGTTTGCTAGTGTTCCAAGTGGGGATGCCATTTTTATGAAGGTAATTTTTGAATTTCTCAAGCATTAATTAAATTTTTGGTTTTCTTCTTTTAGTTTAACAATGGTAACTATATATATGAAACTGTTCTACTTGTGTTCTGATACATTTGTTTCTAGTCGATACTTCATGATTGGAGCGATGAGCACTGCCTAAAGCTGTTGAAGAATTGTTACAAAGCTATTCCAGACAATGGAAAAGTGATTGTTGTGGATGCACTACTTCCAGCTATGCCAGATACTAGCACTGCTACGAAAACCACTTCCCAATTTGATGTGATTATGATGACTCAACTTCAGGGAGGGAAGGAGAGGAGTGAACAAGAACTCATGGCCCTGGCAACTGGTGCTGGATTTAGTGGCATCAGATATGAATGTTTTGTCTGTAACAGTGGGGTTATGGAGTTCTTTAAGTAACCAAGGCATATGAAAACTCATACACTAAAATGAAACTGTTAAGGGTCCAAGCCTAATAAAAGATTGGAAAATCTTTCGTTTGTATGGTTTTTCGTTTGTTTTGTTCTTTTGGCTTGTTTTTAGTTCTTTGGTTTGGTGTGTCTGTCCTGTTTGTTTGGTTGGGTTTGGCTCCCCTTTGGGCCTTTGCCGGTTGGCTTTTAGGATATCTTTGTTGACCAAAAAAAAAATTTCAGACTCAGACCTGCACATAAATTTCTGCAGATTATTTTACTTAATTTACTTTTATCTTTCCCTTCTAAAGTAACATAAGAAACGTAATGATATGAATCACAAAATGAAGACAAAGTACATTTATAACCGCGGTTAGAATAAGCTTATATATGCAAACAAAATGAAGAATGTTCACATATTTATGAACAATGCTGCGAGGTATACACATGTATAAGCTTCAAAAACCGACCACAAGTTCTTTTCCAATCTCAGCAGCATTACTTTTCAGGTTTGCTCTAGCCGCTCCCGATTATATCTTTGTACGTGTCTTTAATCTTCTGCGTCAAAGCTTCCCTGAAATTTCAAACACCAGATATGCCATGGAAATTCTATATGTTACTATGGCAAATCTTTTTTGGACCAATTAAAAGAAATAGAAACTACTTATACTCCAATAAAGGTTTTTGTTGCAGATTGTACTCACCTGTCTGGTTTGAAAACAAGGTTCTTGTATGCAAACCACTGCAAAGATACATAAGAACGGCAGGTGGTAAGAAGTAGGAAAGTGCAAGAAGTAGTGAATTGGGCTCTTTACTGACATAATCTTAATTGAAAAGTTTCTAAAAGAATGCAAAAGCAAACAAAACCCAACTTACCCCAGTGTAGCCAATGCCTACAAGCTCAAGAACACCAGGGACTAAGGGAAGCCTATCAATTGCCTGTTACAAACATACCCATCAAGCAGATTAACCAGTCAACAATCGAATAATCGAGTAAGAAATTAGCTACTCAAATCTACAGAAATTAAAACACAGCAACTTAAAATTTTAATTTGGAAACTATGAGAAGCTAACACAGAATGTGGATAAGGAGAGAGACACACCGAGATCAATCCAGTGGAGCCCCATAGTGCAACAGCACCAGCCACCGCAAGTGAAGACACTGCATACTTATCTTCAACTTTTTCCCACTAGAAAGCAAAAACAAATCATTTTGTGTCATCTAACATGCTGAGCTCCTTCATACAAAAACACTAGATAGTGCCATAACTGAATGAAAGGCTTACAGCTTCTTGAACTGTCTTCACAATCTCTGGGAACTCAGTTGTAGCCACTTCTGCAGGTGCTTCCCCTGTGGCCATGGCCATGACATTGCGCGCAATCTTACGACCTAAAAGAAATAAAAAAGAAATATCAGTATATATGCATTTTCTATCTAGATATCTAACATGTTATGTTACTAGACTGTCAATCTAAATGATACGTTTGAATAAAATTTAACTTGATCAATCGTCTAGATTGGTCAAATTGTTTGGAAAAACAAAATTTTCATCAAACATATAAAGTACTTTGTAAATACTAATGATAGTAATCATGGATGGCTCACAATAGGCAGTAGTCTTCCCTGGGCGGTTCTGAGACTGAACCAGGGGTGGAGGAAGCGTAGGGAGGGTCACACATTGCGGCGATGATGCTGCCGAGTGGCGGGGAGCCTTGGTATCAACAAGGGTGGATGAGGAGGAGATGGAAAGTGTGGAGGAGCTAGAGGCCATGGCTATTGAATCCCCTACAGGTTATTTAAGTCCTATGAGAGATTCTGAGGCCACCAAGGATGAGAAATTTGATGAGGCAAAACCAAAAACAAGGAGAGATTAACAAAGGGAAAGGAAGAGGAGAGAAGAAGGAGGAAGAGGAGGGGAGGGGAACCTTCCCCCCAAGATGCGGCGCTGAAGGGTTGGGTAGTTTTTTTTCTCTGCTATGGTTTTTTTTTCCTGTGTCTGTGAGGTTCATAACCTCTCCAACAGCCAATTTGTACAGAAGGTTCATTAAGAAAAGAGAGATACAGGGAGAAGACAGAGGGTGGAGGGTGGTTCATGGATGTCGAACAGAGTAGGGGGAAGATTCATAAAGACGCACTACTCAGTTTTAGCGAAGGAGGTTTTTATATATGTACTGAGTTACAATGTGCAACCGGTAATTGCATAAAATTCGCATAAAAAAAGAAACTGAATTGCATAAATAAATTTATATACCTTTTTTTTTAAAGGAACTAAATAAATATATACTTAGATCGGATTTTCTGCTATGGATATGGAATCGAAACGCCACGTAAGACAGAATTAAAAGACCACCACAGCTATTTAGTACCTCCAATCACACCCAAATGCAAGACAAAATAAACAAAAAAGCTGTGGAGTTCTACCGATTTTCAGACTTTCC